AGGTTTCAAAAGGTAGAGATGTTACTAGTTGGAATCTTTGGAAACTGTTGTCATATGTTGTCATTAAACGGGTGTGTGGGACGAGTCTATCGAGGTCATGCAGATGTTTGCAGACGCAGGGCTCTACCCCCCAATACGGATAGCTTGTGTGCAGCACTCGTGAAGTACCTGAAGCCTATGGAAGATTGAATTTCAAGTCAGAAGGAGTCGCGAGAGTGTAGGATCTGCGTCGCTTGAGTAATTACATCACGCGGCGAGCTCACTCAACTTTGTGTTTGGATACAGCCAACCACACACAGACTCACATCGCACACACACACACACACATGCGCGCACACACACACACACACGCACACTCACAAACCCCATACACAAACTCAGAAACTAACACGCACACACAGAAACGACTGATGGAATCAAACAGCAGAGACACGCACAGATGAGTGCTTGATTGAACGCTTCTAGGTGTTTTGTGTGTTTGTTATTGTATCTGTATATGTATACATATTTACATAGACATCATCGAACGCTGTAAGGCGTCACAGCCTGAATTCCAAAGTGATCCTGTATGCAGAAGTACGAAACCCTTGCTGAGGCGCATCGCGGCAGATGCTCGGGCACGAGCCTCGGAGACATGGGACTCCGGGGTGTTCTGAAGAGTAGGACCCTCACCTGTCTCGAGCTCTTCGGTGAGGATCTAGCTGTTCAGTATCTTTCCTTGGGGTCGCTTCAGGTCAGCGCATTGTAGTTCCGAGTTTTTGGAATAAGTGTCCAATGAGTCAATGAAGGTCTTATAATGATCCACTTCGCAACTCAACACATGGCCAGTTCTGTTGTCTTCGGGCCCGGCTTGTCTATTGATTCGCCATGTAGTATTATTGGCCACATTAGTCTTCCACTCAGACTAGGATGTTGATGCAAATGTTCGCGCAGGATCAGCTGCAAGCTGAGACTCGTGCATCGAGGACTGAAGAGCCCTTGAAGGCAATCCAACTCTCAATCCAGTCGTGTGGTCGGTCCGAGTGTCCAGCTAGATCCCTCCCCTAAAGTTGCAGTTCAGAAAGCCCTGAACCCTGAACCTGCTTCAAACCTGAAGCCCTTGAAGCTCCAGCTCATGATTTGGGTTATGTATGTTCACTGAATGTTTAGAAACACAACACTCCCCTCCTGCCCGAGCCTCCGCCATAAAAAAAGGCATCCTTTGTCAGCCGGTCACGAACCATTGGTGAGTAATGCCCAGCAGCAGAAGAAGGCTACTGAATGTCAATGCAGAGTACTGTAACATAGTGTTCTTTTTGTTTCTTGGCTTCAGCCGCTTGGATTCTGCACCTCTACAGATGGCGGGTTCTAGTGACGTTATGCGAACTGGATTTGCAGTCGCAGTGGACGGAGGTCAACAATTTGGTGGCTGCTACGACTCCAGATTTACGACCTACGCAGCGTTTTCAATAGATTCAGTCCGGGCGAGAGTCTTAATGAGGACCGAGACCCACTGAAGCCCACGTGCTCAACCCTTTTGGCCTGGTCCCTTAAGCGAGCCCAGGCAGTTCCGTATCCTGTGGAGCCTTTTCCATGGATCGAGCTGCTTCAGCTGGGAAGCGATCGCAGGGGCCGCAGGTTGGGCAGATGTCGAGGTTGGGCGTTTCGTATTCAGGTGTTGTTTGCAGTGTTGCCTCAGATACATGCTAAGATGTAGGTTTGAGAGCTTGAGGAGGGACAGCCAAGCTGGGGTCCTTGGCGAAGATGATTCTGAGGTTGCTTGGGGAGAACCCGGGCTTTGAGGTGAGGCTTTCTGCTTTGGGCTTCAACATGCTGAAGAACTGCGGGCGTAGTCAGTGAAGGTCGAATATCTAAGCCCTGAAAGACTTTCCAGCCCCACACGCTTGCAAGCCCTTAACGAAACACGTTCCCACAAACTTCAGAGGCCAACCTCGCAAGACTTCCCAAAGGCCTGCACAGACCTCCGGCCCAAAGGCAAAAATGCGAGCAAAGCCGTCCCAGGCCTGGAAGCAGGTGCAAACTGGTGCAACAAACGCTTGGGCTGGACCCGGGAGCAGGCTCCTTGCTAGGATCAACCCAGGGGGAAGCAACAGATCCAGGGTTTGTAGGACTTTAGGACCTCTTGCTGTATGAGGCTCCGTTGTGGCTTCACAAGTGGACCTGGGTCTGTTTTCAGGCTGCAGCCAAGACCGAACAAATCTCTCTCCCTGTCTCTCTCTCTCTCTCTCTCTCTTATATAGGGCAGATAGAGATAGAGATGGATATAGATAGATGCTTTCCACGGAGTCGATACCTCAAGAGAAACATCCTCACCGGTTCACAACCCAATGTGCTGTTCGCTATGCTTTGGAAGTCTATAGCGGAGGTATTTAAAGGAATGTGGCACAGTCGAACTTGTGAAATCTTGCAGTTTGATCTTACACGCACGAAAGATCAACACCTGAAACCCTGGAGCCCGAAGCCGTAAGCACATAAACGCGCCGTCAGGTCGACACTGCAGGCTAAAATCCAAGAGTTGAAAGTCTTCGACTTCGAAATTAGTTTGCACCCATAGGCCACTTGCAAGTCGGCAAGTTGTGACTCTAAAGCTGTCTAGTGCTGCCTTGTTGAACTCACACTTTAGGAGCCCTACGAGGAACCACAACTTAGAACATCCACTGACTTTGATTTTAAGCTTCGCGGTTCCAGAGCTGGCTTGTACTACAAAAAACGCACTTGTCCGAATGGTTGGGATCTCCGACAACTACTGATATGCACTCGGTATCGCACGTGTAGCAGTGCGCACGCCGTCGTGAGCATTGCGGGAACGGTGTGTCGAATTTACAAGCCATTCATCTCCTGAATGCATGAAGAAAGCCAACAAACCTCTGAGACCCGTTTGATTCAAGTGACATTCAAGAAAAATCTAGAACACTACAAAAGTCACCGCACCATATGCCAACATGCAAAAATGACGCTGATTAACCCTAAGCAAACACCCAACGTAGTGCTCTGATGCTCAAGACAGCAGAAATGCACCAAAAAAATCCATAAACATTCCAAGATGAGAACTGAAAGCGCAACATCGAAAACCCTAAAACACAACTGTAAAACATGAGGAAAGTTAGGCGACAGAAACGCGAAACGACAGTTAGCAAAATAGAAAATGCGGAAATGCGGCCAAACACTGAAGCAAACAATACCGCATTCACAAAGATGTGTAGACTGCACGAAAGATGCATGCAGTCTGTACTACCCGCCTTGGATCTCGGTGAGATTCTCGGATCCCCGAGAAACGGAATGCACTGATCCATGGAAATAAGCTAGAATGTGTCAGGTTTCCTCTTGAAGGATTTCGACCGATGCTTGGAAGCCCAACAACCCCTCCGGTCGTATGCTTAGTACAGAAGAGACGCAAACTGGTACGTCTGGAGGTGGACATGCAATCACTGATTTGTTTCTGTGCACACGTGGCCCCTCCGTGTAGAGGTAGTCGCAGAACCTCAACAACTAACAATGTGTTTTCCTTCTTGGAGCTCGGATTTTGTAGGGAGGGGATGTCATCAGCAGCGATGCTATTTTTGAGTTGATTTTGGAAACAACCATACACGTGGACATCTCGCACATACAAAATGGGCTAGACTGGAGCCTTCAGAAGTGCAAAGCACTGCAGCCTCACATCGAATAGGTGAAGATGTACCCTAAAGGAAAGTGTACGTAAGGTTTGACCAGCCAGCCGCAAAGCGATCCTGGAGCATGTGCCTAGCGGGCAGCCCCACAATCCGGTGGATGCCAAACACAAAGGTGTACGGTATAGAGACAAGGGCTCTTGGGGGATTCAACAGGTAAGCTCATCCCTTTAGCGGTGCCCCAACTCAAATCCACACTTTGTTTCGGGGAGAACAGATTGCGAGAACGACCCGATATCATGATGACCTGTGTTCGAAGCCTGTGTGCAGGTCTCGTTTCATTTGAGAAAGGAGCCGCCGCGCCCTCGACATATGATGCAGTAAAATTACTCTGATATACGATAGCAGACTATTGCTGTCATGATCAGATGACAATATACGATTCCTGAGTCAGGGTTTCCGAGTTGTCGATTGTCGGATGCAATGCCCATAGTTACCAGCTCAGCTTGTAAAGTTCTAGGTTCCAAGGAATACTTGTTGTCTTCTCTAATCCGGGGTGATCGTCTTTCCAACTAGTTTACTTATTGCGTGCAGTATGGAGTTTGCCCACATTTGCCCACTTTCGAAGGAAAATCTTGATGGGGGCTGTGACTTTGCCTGGGAAAGGCAGCTTAGAGACTACAGTTCAGGTGCACAGACGGCTCCGGTGCATCCGGGCTGCTGCGTTGCAAACATGTTCTTACACCTAGATTTAGATGCAGGACAAGGGGCGTCGATAGCGAGCCAGTCACCAGGCTAAGGCTTTTAGCGGGTCGAAGCAGGCCTGCTAGGGGTTTTGGAACTGGGTGAGTCGCTTTTTCGATTGAGCCCATCCCCGTAGGGCGTAAGGTAAGGGGCGGTTACATGGGACGGAAGAGCAGGTGTTGTGCACACTTATATGGTGAACCGACTTGGCAGGCTGCTCAAACTTACCCGTGGTTACATGGTGGGAAACATTTTGGTTGAGCCTTCCGTCTGCGAGTCGAAACTCGCGCTTACATGGGCGGAAGGCTGGCCTACAGTGGTTTATGACTTCGGTGATCTTCGGTGTTTTTGTAGATGCAATTACCTGCAGAATTCACCGCTTGGTGCATAGTCCCATCATAGCTTGCGACCCGCCGCTCGTTCATGGCCGAGGCTGAGGAGTGCCATGTGTGTGGGGACCCTATCGAAGTAAACGAAAGGCTCTATGATAACATGATGTGTTTGTGTGTAGAACAAAGCCCAGACTCTCACGGCCACACAAGTTAAGGCCATGCACTGTCAGCACTAAGGGCTCCGAGTCAAGGACATTGTCTAAGAGCAGAAGATTCCCCCTTGCCAAATAGCGTTTTACGTCTTGATGTTTCACCAATGGCTTACGAGCTCCTGGTCTTTACTACACTTTTGGCAGTGGCGATCCCGGATGCGCTCGTGCTTTGGCCAGTTGGTAGGTGTCATGGGTCAGGATACAGAAATCTGGGTTCAGGTTCTGGACTCCGGGCTCATACAGCTCAAAGCTGGTTTGGTTCAGTCTCCCGAAAGCCTCAAAGCAGCGATCCCCCTCGAAGCCTGCATTCTAGCTCCCTGTACGCCCTGCATGCCCTAGAGCTAGAGATAAACCCTTGGCCCTACAGGCTTTGTGCGGCTACTCTACATTTGGACTTGGACCCGATCTCGCGAACGTGGTCGCCACAGACATAACCGACTTGACACTTTTCTTCTGTAGCTTCAGGTTTAGGGCGTATACTTGGTTTTTGGCGGGGGGAGGCTTTCAAACTGTTTTTGGAGTGGACGGAGAAACGCTAAGCTTCAGCTCAAATTTAGGGTTTCTAGAGCTTTGCTTTACATGTTCAGATATTATTGACTGTCTTGATTGAAGGCTTTGGTTTCTTTCTGCATAGTATATTTCTGCACGTTTTCACTTCATGCTCATGGGTACACAAGAAGCAAGGACGGCGATCATGTCCCTGATCTTCGCAGGACCATGCGGTTTCGATGTCAAATGTGCTTGGTGGGCAAGTTTCAGATGTAGGAGACCTTCTTTTGAAGACTTGGGTGAGCTTCGCAGGATCGGATCATTCGTTCAGGGTACAGGGTGCATAAGGCAGGATCCTGGATCGGCACGTTCGTAATATATGTTTTCTTGCCTGTTTGAGGTCCCCTCCTTTCAGGTTTGGATTGGTTTGGATCAATGCCGCTTGCAGGACTATTCCCGGTGCTGTGCTTTGTTCTCGACATTCCTGCCGCGCCAACACCGGTGCAGGTGTGTTTTGGTCTTCTGTCGGTGATACTGGTGCTGGGCGTCTCCACTCTGAATTTACTTACGATACCGGTTATGCCGCTCATGGTATGTTTGGAGCTTACGTTCCTTTTGCTGGCATGTCTGCGCTGCAAGCTGTTCGGTGGAATCCCTGCGCCTCATTTCTTTACAGCGGGAGCACTGAGCTTCGGAATATGCACAGGTTTCACCGCCGTCGCTTGTGTTGCATTTCGGTTCTCCACCGGGACGATCGCATCCATCGAGACACAGATCAGGCTGGCCAGTATGTACTCTGAAGTCTTTGCATACGCATCCAAAGATCTGGACGTCTCTTTTAACCAGACGCAGTGTTTCGTGGAGACTGTTTCTCCTGGCCTGAGTGAAGAGCCTTGGTTGCCAGGACTTGCTGCAACCTTTGGTTGATTGTGGGTCAATATAAATAGGGTGGTAATCCCAGTGGCCTAGCTTTGTCATCGTTTCTTCGGAACTAGACAGATAAGGATCAGCAGGATTCTTTTCACCGAGCTTGCGCCACCGTCAATAGCCTCTGGTATGCGCAATGGACCACACCATACGCCGTGCCTTCATTGAATGCCCTTTCCGTGACTTGACGTGGCAGATGTCCGTGTGGTTGGCCTTGAACTTGCTGTGCCAAGCAGTTTTTGGTTTTGCCCACCCGCCAAAGCCACGCCATAAGAATCTCTAGGCGAGAGTCCTTGCGACTGTGCCATAGCAGAAGCAACTGAGGCCCTTTGCTGCATGGTGTTCGCGCGGACAGATCCTTCTACTAGAACGTTGGTGTCGGAGAGCCAGACCACCACGTCGGGGTCTCAATACATCTCTCTCTTTGTCTCTCTCTCTCTCTCTCTCTCTTGTCATAAAGACCTCCGGGCCGTGAGATGTCGTAGGGTGGCAGGTTCATGGCACGTCACACTATTTTTTATATGCTTCTGGTTCGGTGGCGGCTCACTCATGTGATTTGTAAGCTCACGCACAATTTTCCGGCGTGGCCGTGCGTGTCTCGTTTCAAGACTAGAGGAAATGAAAGCCTGTTCAGGGCGGGCGAACAGGAGAGGGTTGGGGGCGAGGGGCGGGAGACGGGGGGTGCCAGGAGCGGACGCTTTCAAGTCACTAGCGGTGGTGAAAAGTGATCCAATGCAAGCCGCGAAAGTCTGGAAGTATCCGAACCTAAGTGAATTCCAATGAAAACCAGAGTTCTTCAGAATCAAAATTGAAAAGATCTGGCAGGGATTCGGCGTCTTAACTTAATTCTAGGCTGCAGAGGTTTCCATCACCCGAGGTTGACAGAAGCTGAGATAAAGGCGGCAAAGATGATGGCTGCCTTGCTGAAGCGTTTTACTTTTATGATGGCCCTTGCAATGGCTGCTTTATATACAGCGAGCACCATGGTGGTGTCCTCGAGAATCAGCCTGATGAGATCCATGATTATCTTGGCTTTCTGTGTGATCCTGACCGCCCTGGGATTCGTCTACTTGGAGACTGATCGTGTGCTTCTTTCGAAATTGCTGAACCAGAGCCGATTTTATCGGAGCATCCTCCAGCTGGCAAAGAACGATTGGATTCGGGCATTGTTTATATGCTGCACCTGCATATTTCTTCCTGGCGTGCTTGGGTGACTTGGATGCCTCTTGCTAGCTGTATAATTTCCGTTTAGCCATGATCGTGTGCAGCACCTTGGCGTAATTTTACGCGCTATCCGAACGGTCATTCAAACCCTGCCCCTCAACTACGAATCTTGATGTCCAAGCTCTCAAGATTTGGTTTCCAAGCATAAAAGGATGCTGACGGCTTAATCCCATGCCGCAGGTCTCTGTTCCTTACAGCTACTTTAGGTGTGTTGTCATGCCGTTTCAGAACAGTTTTTAGCTATGATGCATGTCAATATTGCTGCCAAGTCTTTGGTTTCATATTCCTCCGCTGCCGTCATGTCTTGGATTTGAAACCTCAGCTCGAATTACTCACGACTCCAGCAGGCATACAATCTCTTATTGAAACCTGAAGAGACCTTAAACCCTCGTTGCCGAGGGCTGACATGATCCGTCAGCGTGTACGGGCCTGTTTGTCGTCTGACGCATCGGCTCGGTCCGGCCGGTTTACGGCGGCTGTCCGGCCCATGGTGGGCCCCTCGGGTCTTCGGCATGATAAGGCTAAGACTCGCGAATAACCGCATGCTCTGCCAGAGGCGTTGATGCCTTTAGAAACCAGCTATGGGGGACAAAGCCATCGTTCCCTGCCAGAGAGAGAGAGAGAGAGTCAACCCTGAGTCCGGCCATGAGGCGCTGCAGACGAGGGAACGGGCTGAACAAGTTGAGGGTTTGCGGTCAAGGCAATTAAGGGTGCTACTTCTGCTAGCATCGACTCCCCCCATTACTTGCAAGCCTGGGCCGATCCTGGTGAACTGGAGGGATGTTGAAGAGGCTAGGGGGCGGGGGCCCTGACTCCGTGATCTGAAAGGCTTTCTGAAGAAGGTCGACGGATCCTGCTGGGTACTTGTTTCTGGGCTTGGGATCCCAGGCCCACAAAGATCATGCCCTGGAGGTTGAGGTTTAGAGGGTTGCAGTTCCATCCTCACAGAAACAAGATTGCAATCCTTCGAGACCTTTGTCGATTCTTAAATTTCAGCACATAAAGCCAGCACATGCAACTGGAACCCCCCAAGCCATGTGAATCGAAACGCACTACTACGTTTGATATCACGAACGGCCTAAATTTGCAATCTGAATGTTCGATCCTTCAAAACTGTAAGCCTGAAAATGCGCACCAAGCACTTGCTGCATGCCGACCGCTGTCAATAAATAATGTAAGACTGTCAAAGCAATTAAGCCCTTATCCAGCACCGTGCTCCTTGCCGAACATTTCCGTTGAAACATGCTCTCATTGATAGCAAGATTGCAGGTGGACGAGTTCCACACCTGGAACTGGACCAGTGTGCTGCGAAAGCTGAACCTGATTTGCATTGTTGCTGTATTGCTGGCAGTGGGGATGAGAGCCTCTTGGTCTGCACTATATTATTGGCGGCAGTTGCCTAGATGACTCTATCAAGCCTACACGACAAGTTCATGGACCGGAAGCCGGGCTCAAAAGCATGCGAGGCGTATCTTAGTCCAGGACCTGAAGATGTCTGTAGTTCTCCCGTTTAGGACAGCCTCGGACAATCATGCCCCGACTCGCGTGTAGCGATGAGCTGGCACAGCAGCTCCGACATAGCAATCGAATTTGGAGCGCTGCTCAGAGAGTGAACCCCAAGCCCCAAAGCTTGCAACCCGCAAGCCCTGAGAACCTTAGGAGGCAGTCTCTTTTTCAAGCTTGTATCTTCTGGTAGTTTCATTCTTCGGGGTTTATGTTCCACAGTCGTTGGCCGTTGGGCTTCAGGCGTTTAGGGCTCTGGGGTGTCAGGGTGTCGGGTTCAGGGTTGATTCCAGGGATCTTCGAATCATTTCGCAACTGTCAGGTCAGCAAGAAGGTCGCAAGAAGTCAAGTCTAGTATACGAGCCTCAACACTTGTGCATAGTACTATGATGTTGCAGTCACTGCAGTCTTTCTTTGCACGCCCATATATGTGCTACAGGTACTATGTGTTCAGGGCCCTGCATGAGGTCGCGTAGCATGACCGGAGTTCAGTGACAGCGCCCGAAGTATCCGCACGACAGGCGAGCTACGTCTCTTTCTCGTGGCTCAACGTGCAGCTGATCACATGGAATCTGGACATATACTTGCTGAGCTTGCTGGTCTTTGCGATTGGCCTCCCGGCAGGTGAATATGGCCGAAGGCTCTAGATGTAAAACCCATCTGGTTCCAACCAGACTGTTCCGACGCTAAGGCACCCAAACGAAAGCCACACGCCCTGAACCGAATCCAAATGAACGTGTGGGCGATTTAGGCCAAGGCAGCTTGGTCCAATTCGTAGAAGAGCTGGCATCCAAGGCTTGGGGATGTTCATGATGCCAGTCGTGCCAGGAGAACTTTGCTGGTGCTACATAGTCCTGGCTGTCAGTACCAGTGCAGACGATTTACCCCGCCTGTATCGACGGCGCTGCTGTTACGCTGGTTGTGTTTATAGACTTGCAGTCATTCTGTAGCTGCCATCTTGCCTAATTTTGCTACTGCCGGTCATTGCCCTTCTCTCCCGTTCCGCTGTCTGTCGTGTCTTGTTGTTTCTGGGAGACATCTGCTGCAGGCTCAATGTTCAAGTCTCGCCGTTTCTGGGAACATCCGCTGGTGCAGGCTCAAAGACCTCGTCTTAAACTTGAGCTTCTTCCTGCATGGTGCAGGAACCGCCGTGTACATCTTCGCTGGAGTTGTGCTGGGATACCAGGCGGTTGGCTAGGTTGCAAGAGTAAGCAGCACCAATGTTCACGTGCATCCGTCTCTTTCATGCGTATTCAAAATCCAGAGCAAAGTGTCAGTACAGAAACTGCTGTTAAACAACTAAAATCAATGGTGGTTGACTGTTGCAGCGAACTTAGCCAGCCGAAAAGTCTTCAACTTTAGCACTGTCTCAAGAGGGAACATGCCATGCCGGCTGGAGTAGCGAAGAGGTCGGCTGATGCAGAACATATCTCAGTTTGAAGCTGGGTTGCAGAACTAGCAGCAGCAGCAGCAGCAGCAGCAGCAGCAGCAGCATCACCAGCAGCAACAGCAACATCACAACCGCGGCAACAGCAACAACAACAACAACATCAACTATTACTACTACTATTACTACTCTACTACTACTACTACTACTACTACTACTACCGCCACTGCTAGTGCTACTATTACGACTACTGCTGCTGCTACTACTACTACTACTACTACTACTGGTGGTGGTAGTAGTAGTAGTAGCAGTAGTAGTAGTAATAATAATAATAGTAGTAATAGTAGGAGGTGGAGGAGGAGGAGGAAGGAGGACGAGGTGGTACTATTACTGCTGCTGCTGCTGCCGTCGCCATCACCACCACCACCATCACCACCACCACCACCGGTTTTGCTGTGGCTACCACGACTGCTACCGCTACAGAGAGTGTACAAGCAGAGTGATTTCTTCCCCGGCCTGTAGTCAGAAACCCAGGCGCCGTTCAATGCCAGGACCGGCTTTATCTGTCCTTAGGAGATTTGTACAGGTCAGGATGGGTTCAGGGTTGGGGATTTAAGATTTGGGAGTCCGTAAACCCAAAACCCGAAACCGGGGGTCAAGGTCATGGGTTCAGGGTTTAGGATGGTTTATCAATGGTTGATGGACGCGTTTGCTCGGACAGTCTCGCGACTAGGCTGCATACATCGAATACACTTCGGCAATTAGCCGTCATGGTTTGTGGAGCGTTTTCAATACTCAGCGTATCATGGAAACTGGCGGTATGTCGTCATGTCGTGCTGAATCCATGTCGAAGAGAAAGACCACTGCTGCCAGCCTTGGCGCCGAAGGGTATAATCCATAGCTGGGAGTTTCACCGACCTGGCTTCTCTGCTACATGTATATAACCCCTTCGTTATCCGATTGTAAGCGCCGCAACCGCAGAAATCCTGAACCCCAGACTGCCAAGACCCATGCATAGGGGCGTTGAAGTTAAAAAAAACCGTACACTCCTCTCCTCTGTCTCAGTCATTGCTGCCCGAACCGTGCCTGCCTTGTCCGGGAGCGAGGAAACCCTTGCATGAATACCAAGCAGTAATTCTCCTTGCCGGGCGAGGGGCAGAAAAGCTGTATGACGTTCATATCGGGTGTCTTAAGCTCGAACAGGCAACCCTTACTGCCCTGATACGGGTACTTCTCTAAATTAGGGTCCCTCTTTAGGTCCTCACTATAGTACGGCACCCTTATACAAAGGACCCCCAAAGGGACCCTAATTTAGAGAGCTCCCCTGTTTATACTGTCATTGTAATGATTACCAATAGAAACCCCCAAAACCCTATTCTAATTATTAAGGCCTCTGCTGATCCGGAGCAAGGCCGAACGGCACCCCACGGAAATGAAGCAGAGAAGGGGCGGTAGATGCTGAAAGAAATCGAGATTACATGGGCACTTGTATGTATGTATGTATGTATGTATGTATGTATGTATGTATGTATGTATGTATGCTGCTCATGGCACGACTGCTCTTGCTGGCTTGAACCCCCCGGCTGTCTACTTTCCTGGAAACTGACTTCGGACACCCGAGCCGAGAATCCACAAACCGTGAAAGATTGCGAAGCACGCGAAGCCCAGCAGGCCCCAAAGCATGTCGATGTTTCTCCGCTTCTTTGAGCAGGAAAAACAAGTTGGCTACACAGGCCGCGCCAGCAGCTTCATATTGCCTTGGATTTTGGGGGTTGTAGAAGGCTTCTCAGGCGTTGCTCAGCAGCCCTTGGATGCCGAAGTGCGTAGCACTGAGCTGGTGGTCTTGCTGGAGCGCAGGCAACTCGACACGGAACGGCAAAACCCGAAACCCTAAACCCTAAACCCGAAACACTACACTCTCTCCTCTGGCGGAGTGTCGGCTCCACATCTTAAACCCTCAACCCTCAACCCCAAACTCCCGAAGCCCTGGACCCTTGACTTCGAACCCCAGAGCCTTAAGAACCCTAGACCCGAACTTCGGAGGCTTCGTGGCTAGACAGGGGTTTGGGGGTGGAAGATGGGATAGTTGATATCATATAGGGGGCCTTAAGAATTAGACTCGGGTTTGGGGCATCATATACTATAATTTGTTAATAAGGAGCCCCCAAAATAGTATAGGTAATTATTAAGGCCCTTATATTAGGGATTATAAGGGGAGACTCTGCCTAATGGTTACCCTTAACCCTAAACCCTCTTAGTTCTCTGCCATGCGAGAGGGAAAAAACCCTATGCCTAATAGTTCGGACCCTTACATTAGATCTGACAGCAAGAGAGAGGCCTACCTCCGTGCTGCGGAGTTCGGCAACTTGAAGGCTGGACTAGAGCTTTACGGGTCTGAGGGTTGAGGGTTTAGGTTTAGGGTTTACGGGTCTGAGGTTGGTTTAGAGTTTAGGGTCTAAGGTTTCGGGTTTAGGGAAGATGAGCTCGTAAAATCATGAGGATTGTGTGTACTTAGCTTCGGGCGACTCCAATCAAGCCTGTGTAAAAAGCAAAAAGGATTTGTTTAGGGTGGTTCATAGATTTTAATGTTTCTGTCGGGTTAGAGATTGGGGTTTGGGCCCCGGGCCCTAAACCCGAAGCCTTGTGAGTGTTGAAACCTGGGGTATTCCCTAAACCCTAAACCCTAAAACCCTAAACCCTAAATCTATATTCTCCGTTTGCCAGGGGGGAGGAAGGAGTCGAGCCTTACTTGTGGGTTCCTTAAGGGTTAAAGGTTGAGGGTTTAGGGTTCAGGGGGCTCAACCTCGACCCCGAAGAACCTGCGTTTTTTAGGGGTCATCACTATGATTTCGTTGTTGTAGAGGTCCTTTAACAGGTCGGATGTTTGGGGTTAAGGAATTTTTTCCAGTGCTCTCCTCTGGGGTTCCCCAAGGTTCCCCGGTACTCTCCCCGCTTAGAGCCCCCTCCCTAAAGGATCCCATAACTTGCGGTTTAGGGTTTGAGGTTTAGGAGTTTTGGGTTTAGGATGTCAGGGCTGGCTTGGGGGGCTTATGCTTTGTGCTTACTGTTTCGGCTACTGTAGATGTCATCGGCTGAATGTCATTCATGACTGCACCTGGTGAATTCTGTATCGCGCCACTAGGGTTATTGCCAGAAGCATGAGCCCTTATCCCTCCGATAAATCTTAGATCTTAAACTCCGGACCTAACCTGCCCCTTAACCCTCGCACTTGAAGCTGCGATTGTCGTTCCTTTGCCTAGCAAGAAGATCCCAAGCCCATTCCGGTGCTAGGCCATGCTTTTGCGGGTTTAAACTTTTGGGCTTTTGGATTTTCGGGTTCAAGGGTTCAGGATCTTTAGGTCATCTCCATCCTCTGACTATGATTATAAAACTAAGATAGGTAACACTTAAGTTCTTATGTTCTTCATCCTTAATCTCTGATACGGTTTAGCATCTAGCATTTGCGGTCGTGTTTAGGGCTTGAGGTTCGGTGGCGTTAGGGCTTAGTTAAACCTTAAACTTAAACCTGAATCCCTCCTGGGTGCAATGCTTTGCCAGGCTGTTCGGGCTCTAGCGCTGGAGGATCAGGCTGAGCTGAGTGGCCAGAGATGTAAGGACGGGCTGAAAACCCGAAACCGGTACACCCTAAGCCCCTAGTCCCTGGCCCTAATTACCCCTATTACCCAAACTACCACAAGTACCCCACGCCCGAAACTCCACACCCCAGCCCTGCGCAACTCCGCAGGACTTCTTGGGCTGCGATCCGTATCTGGGTTCTCGTTCAGGAATGTAAGTCTAAGTTACCATGACTAGTAACCATATGATCTACGGTAGATCCTTGTTATAGAAACTCAAACGAAGAACCCAGGCATCACCTGGTCGACTCTGCCCACCACCTCAGCAACGACGAGCGGAAGACGATCAAGCTCCTCGAAGAGTCAGGTTTTGGGTTGTTGGGCTCTGTTTGAGGGTTTAGGGGTCCATCTTGTGCACGGAAAGAGAACGACAGAGAAAAGGTGTCATATTCTCTTGGTGGTCCCCTGGACCTCAGAATCAAATCATCTGAACCGGTTCGCATTTCCCTGCGCACAGCCGAGGTATCAATTCCGAGAGCTTCCCGAGGTGCTCAATGCCGTAGGCCGGATATGCAGAAGAAACCCGGGGCTGTGTTTCTTAATCTTGTTGGGGGGGGGGGGCGGGGTTAGGCTGACATGAGTATGTATATACATATATATATATANNTATATATATATATATATTATGTAGTATATATATATATATATATGTGTGTGTGTGTGTATGTGCGTGTATGTATATATTATATATTACATGAGTATGTATGTGTTATACTGATATAGATATGTATAAATACGTCACAAAGGCACGGGCCAGGCCGTCGTGTGCCTTTTCACAGAACAGTGGACTGGATCTGACGAGTTCCTTTCTAGAATCCAGCCCCTAAATATAGGGACTTGGAATAGTTAGAATTGGGCTTGGGGGGGTATATTATA